ACAGATTTGTTACTGAGGGCCACAGAAATTTGTTACTTAGGGACACAGATTTGTTACTGAGGGCACACAGAAACGTTACTTAGGGCCACAGAATTGTTACTCTAGGGGACAGACACAGAATTGTTACTGAGGGACACAGATTTGTTACTGAGGGCCACAGAATTGTTACTTAGGGCCACAGAAACGTTACTTAGGGCCACAGAATGTTACTTAGGGCCACAGAAACGTTACTTAGGGCCACAGAATTGTTACTTAGGGGACACAGACACAGATTTGTTACTGAGGGCACAGAAACGTTACTTAGGGCCACAGAAACGTTACTTAGGGCCACAGAAACGTTAATTAGGGCCACAGAACGTTACTTAGGGCCACAGAACCAGTTACTTAGGGCCACAGAAATTGTTACTTAGGGCCACAGAATACGTTACTTAGGGCCACAGAAACGTTACTTAGGGACACACAAACGTTACTTAGGGACACAGAATTGTTACTTAGGGACAGACACAGAATTGTTACTGAGGGACACAGATTTGTTACTGAGGGCCACAGAACGTTACTTAGGGCCACAGAAACGTTACTTAGGGACACAGAATTGTTACTCAGGGACGGACACAGAATTGTTACTCAGGGGACACAGAATTGTTACTGAGGGACACAGAATTGTTACTGAGGGACACAGAATTGTTACTGAGGGACACAGAATTGTTACTCAGGGACACAGAATTGTTACTGAGGGACACAGAATTGTTACTTGGGACCACAGAATTGTTACTCAGGGACAGACACAGAATTGTTACTCAGGGGACACAGAATTGTTACTGAGGGACACACAGAATTGTTACTCAGGGACACAGAATTGTTACTCAGGGACACAGAATTGTTACTGAGGGACACAGAATTGTTACTGAGGGCCACAGAATTGTTACTTAGGGACACACAGAATTGTTACTCAGGGACAGACACAGAGAATTGTTACTGAGGGACAGACAGAATTGTTACTGAGGGACACAGAATTGTTACTGAGGGCCACAGAATTGTTACTTGAGGGACACAGAATTGTTACTCAGGGACACAGAATTGTTACTCAGGGGACACAGAATTGTTACTCAGGGGGACACAGAATTGTTACTGAGGGACACAGAAATTGTTTAGGGACACAGAATTGTTACTGAGGGACACAGAATTGTTACTTAGGGCCACAGAAACGTTACTCAGGGACACAGAATTGTTACTCAGGGACAGACACAGAATTGTTACTCAGGGACAGACACAGAATTGTTACTCAGGGACACAGAATTGTTACTGAGGGACACAGAATTGTTACTGAGGGACACAGAAATTGTTACTGAGGGACACAGAATTGTTACTCAGGGACACAGAATTGTTACTCAGGGACAGACACAGAATTGTTACTGAGGGGACACAGAATTGTTACTGAGGGACACAGAATTGTTACTGAGGGACACAGAATTGTACTGAGGGACACAGAATTGTTACTGAGGGCCACAGAATGTTACTTAGGGCCACAGAAACGTTACTCAGGGACAGACACAGAATTGTTACTCAGGGACAGACACAGAATTGTTACTCAGGGGGACACAGAGGGACATGTTACTGAGGGCCACAGAAATTGTTAGTATGCCACAGATTGTTACAGGGCCACAGAGGAGTGGCACAGGAGTTAATGTTTAGGGACCGTGTTACTCAGACAGACAGAATTGTTACTTAGGGCACAGAATTGTTACTCAGACACAGGCAGCACTATTCGCAGGGCCAGAGGCCAGAATTGTTACTCAGGGACACAGAATTGTTGTGAGGGAACACAGAATTGTCACTGACAGGGGACACAGAATTGTGTTACTCAGGACAGACACAGAATTGTTACTTCAGGAAGCCTGACAGAAGTGTTACTCAGGGCCACAGCATTGCAACTGCCGGCAGGGACAGAGCCAGTGCTCCCGGTGTTTCTGGGAACAGAATAGTTACTGATGGCCTCTTCAGAGCCAGGCGAAGTGTTAGTGGGCGAGTGTTACACCGACACTAGGTCTAGAGACAGGTCTGTTCCTGACCCACACGCAGCCGAGGGGGCTAGCTAGTGAGAGGGCGGAGACCCTAATTTGATTGATGATGACCACTCTGATCGCCACTTGGCAGCCCTCTCCTCGTCGTCATCTTGCTATTGTTACTCAGGGTGCTGGCATCATCAGGAGTAGCTGAGGGTGGCAGCTTGGCAGGGAGCAAACGGAATTGTGCTGTCTCCATCGCCACACTCTGCCATGTGCCACTTTCAGGTCTCCTCACACACTGCTGGGTGTGTTCCATTTTTTTCATAGGGTGCTGGCAGATTACGGGCCTCCCATAGCTGCTGCCAGGCCCCTAATCTGCCATGGGCCCTATATACCGCCTCCTCATGCTGCTGCCAGGTCCAGAGTCTCTCATGGGTCCCTGTACGGCCTCCCATTGCTGCTGTCTCCATCGCCACACTCTGCCATGTGCCACTTTCAGGTCTCCTCACACACTTGGTGTGTTGACATTTTTTTGACATAGGGGGTGCTGGCAGATTACGGGCCTCCCATAGCTGCTGCCAGGCCCCTAATCTGCCATGGGCCCCTATACCGCCTCCTCATGCTGCTGCCAGGTCCAGAGTCTCTCATGGGTCCCTGTACGGCCTCCCATTGCTGCTGTCTCCATCGCCACACTCTGCCATGTGCCACTTTCAGGTCTCCTCACACACTGCTGGTGTGTTCCATTTTTTGACATAGGGTGCTGGCAGATTACGGGCCTCCCATAGCTGCTGCCAGGCCCCTAATCTGCCATGGGCCCCTATACCGCCTCCTCATGCTGCTGCCAGGTCCAGAGTCTCTCATGGGTCCCTGTACGGGCCCCATTGCTGCTGTCTCCATCGCCACACTCTGCCATGTGCCACTTCAGGTCTCCTCACACACTGCTGGTGTGTTCCATTTTTTGACATAGGGTGCTGGCAGATTACGGGCCTCCCATAGCTGCTGCCAGGCCCCTAATCTGCCATGGGCCCCTATACCGCCTCCTCATGCTGCTGCCAGGTCCAGAGTCTCTCATGGGTCCCTGTACGGCCTCCATTGCTGCTGTCTCCATCGCCACACTCTGCCATGTGCCACTTTCAGGTCTCCTCACACACTGCTGGTGTGTTCCAATTTTTTGACATAGGGTGCTGGCAGATTACGGGCCTCCCATAGCTGCTGCCAGGCCCCTAATCTGCCATGGGCCCCTATACCGCCTCCTCATGCTGCTGCCAGGTCCAGAGTCTCTCATGGGTCCCTGTACGGCCTCCCATTGCTGCTGTCTCCATCGCCACACTCTGCCATGTGCCACTTTCAGGTCTCCTCACACACTGCTGGTGTGTTCAATTTTTTGACATAGGGTGCTGGCAGATTACGGGCCTCCCATAGCTGCTGCCAGGCCCCTAATCTGCCATGGGCCCCTATACCGCCTCCTCATGCTGCTGCCAGGTCCAGAGTCTCTCATGGGTCCCTGTACGGCCTCCCTGTACGGTCTCCCATTGCTGCTGTCTCCATCGCCACACACTCTGCCATGTGCCACTTTCAGGTCTCCTCACACACTGCTGGTGTGTTCCATTTTTTGACATAGGGTGCTGGCAGATTACGGGCCTCCCATAGCTGCTGCCAGGCCCCTAATCTGCCATGGGCCCCTATACCGCCTCCTCATGCTGCTGCCAAGTCCAGAGTCTCTCATGGGTCCCTGTACGGCCTCCCATTGCTGCTGTCTCCATCGCCACACTCTGCCATGTGCCACTTTCAGGTCTCCTCACACACTGCTGGTGTGTTCATTTTTTGACATAGGGTGCTGGCAGATTACGGGCCTCCCATAGCTGCTGCCAGGCCCCTAATCTGCCATGGGCCCCTATACCGCCTCCTCATGCTGCTGCCAGGTCCAGAGTCTCTCATGGGTCCCTGTACGGCCTCCCATTGCTGCTGTCTCCATCGCATCACACTCTGCCATGTGCCACTTTCAGGTCTCTCACACACTGCTGCTGGTGTGTTCAATTTTTTGACATAGGGTGCTGGCAGATTACGGGCCTCCCATAGCTGCTGCCAGGCCCCTAATCTGCCATGGGCCCCTAGTGCCTCTCATGCTGCTGCTGCCAGGTCCAGAGTCTCTCATGGGTCCCTGTACGGCCTCCCATTGCTGCTGCTCTCCATCGCCACACTCTGCCATGTGCCACTTTCAGGTCTCCTCACACACTGCTGGTGTGTTCAATTTTTTTGACATAGGGTGCTGGCAGATTACGGGCCTCCCATAGCTGCTGCCAGGCCCCTAATCTGCCATGGGCCCCTATACCGCCTCCTCATGCTGCTGCTGCCAGGTCCAGAGTCTCTCATGGGTCCCTGTACGGCCTCCCATTGCTGCTGTCTCCATCGCCACACTCTGCCATGTGCCACTTTCAGGTCTCCTCACACACTGCTGGTGTGTTCCATTATTTTTTTGACATAGGGTGCTGGCAGATTACGGGCCTCCCATAGCTGCTGCTGCCAGGCCCCTAATCTGCCATGGGCCCCTATACCGCCTCCTCATGCTGCTGCCAGGTCCAGAGTGTCTCATGGGTCCCTGTACGGCCTCCCATTGCTGCTGTCTCCATCGCCACACTCTGCCATGTGCCACTTTCAGGTCTCCTCACACACTGCTGCTGTGTGTGTTCCATTTTTTGACATAGGGTGCTGGCAGATTACGGGCCTCCCATAGCTGCTGCCAGGCCCCTAATCTGCCATGGGCCCCTATACCGCCTCCTCATGCTGCTGCCAGGTCCAGAGTCTCTCATGGGTCCCTGTACGGCCTCCCATTGCTGCTGTCTCCATCGCCACACTCTGCCATGTGCCACTTTCAGGTCTCCTCACACACTGCTGGTGTGTTCCATTTTTTGACATAGGGTGCTGGCAGATTACGGGCCTCCCATAGCTGCTGCCAGGCCCCTAATCTGCCATGGGCCCCCCTATACCGCCTCCTCATGCTGCTGCCAGGTCCAGAGTCTCTCATGGGTCCCTGTACGGCCTCCCATTGCTGCTGTCTCCATCGCCACACTCTGCCATGTGCCACTTTCAGGTCTCCTCCTCACACTGCTGGTGTGTTCCATTTTTTGTCATAGGGTGCTGGCAGATTACGGGCCTCCCATAGCTGCTGCCAGGCCCCTAATCTGCCATGGGCCCCTGTACCGCCTCCTCATGCTGCTGCCAGGTCCACAGTGTCTCATGCCATGTGCCACTTTCAGGTCCTCCTCACACTGCTGCTGGTGTGTTCCATTTTTTGTCACATAGGGTGCTGGCAGATTACGGGCCTCCCATAGCTGCTGCCAGGCCCCTAATCTGCCATGGGCCCCTATATACCGCCTCCTCCTCATGCTGCTGCCAGGTCCAGAGTCTCTCATGGGTCCCTGTACGGCCTCCCATTGCTGCTGTCCTCCATCGCCACACTCTGCCATGTGCCACTTTCAGGTCTCCTCACACACTGCTGGTGTGTCCAATTTTTTGACATAGGGTGCTGGCAGATTACGGCCTCCCATAGCTGCTGCCAGGCCCCTAATCTGCCATGGGCCCCTGTACCGCCTCCTCTCTGCATGCAGCTGCCAGGTTCTCCACAGTGTCTCATGCCATGTGCCACTTTCAGGTCTCCTCACACTGCTGGTGTGTTCCATTTTTTGACATAGGGTGCTGGCAGATTACGGGCCTCCCATAGCTGCTGCCAGGCCCCTAATCTGCCATGGGCCCCTATACCGCCTCCTCATGCTGCTGCCAGGTCCAGAGTCTCTCATGGGTCCCTGTACGGCCTCCCATTGCTGCTGTCTCCATCGCCACACTCTGCCATGTGCCACTTTCAGGTCTCCTCACACACTGCTGGTGTGTTCAATTTTTTTGACATAGGGTGCTGGCAGATTACGGGCCTCCCATAGCTGCTGCCAGGCCCCTAATCTGCCATGGGCCCCTATACCGCCTCCTCATGCTGCTGCCAGGTCCAGAGTGTCTCATGGGTCCCTGTACGGGCCTCCCATTGCTGCTGTCTCCATCGCCACACTCTGCCATGTGCCACTTTCAGGTCTCCTCACACACTGCTGGTGTGTTCAATTTTTTGACATAGGGTGCTGGCAGATTACGGGCCTCCCATAGCTGCTGCCAGGCCCCTAATCTGCCATGGGCCCCTATAGCGTACTCCTCCTCATGCTGCTGCCAGGTCCAGAGTGTCTCTCATGGGTCCCTGTACGGCCTCCCATTGCTGCTGTCTCCATCGCCACACTCTGCCATGTGCCACTTTCAGGTCTCCTCACACACTGCTGGTGTGTTTCAATTTTTTGACATAGGGTGCTGGCAGATTACGGGCCTCCCATAGCTGCTGCCAGGCCCCTAATCTGCCATGGGCCCCTATATACCGCCTCCTCATGCTGCTGCTGCCAGGTCCAGAGTGTCTCATGGGTCCCTGTACGGCCTCCCATTGCTGCTGTCTCCATCGCCACACTCTGCCATGTGCCACTTTCAGGTCTCCTCACACTGCTGGTGTGTTCCATTTTTTGTCATAGGGTGCTGGCAGATTACGGGCCTCCCATAGCTGCTGCCAGGCCCCTAATCTGCCATGGGCCCCTATACCGCCTCCTCATGCTGCTGCCAGGTCCAGAGTCTCTCATGGGTCCCTGTACGGCCTCCCATTGCTGCTGTCTCCATCGCCACACTCTGCCATGTGCCACTTTCAGGTCTCCTCACACACTGCTGGTGTGTGTTCCATTTTTTGACATAGGGTGCTGGCAGATACGGGCCTCCCATAGCTGCTGCCAGGCCCCTAATCTGCCATGGGGCCCCTACCGCCTCCTCATGCTGCTGCCAGGGTCCAGAGTCTCTCATGGGTCCCTGTACGGCCTCCCATTGCTGCTGTCTCCATCGCCACACTCTGCCATGTGCCACTTTCAGGTCTCTCACACACTGCTGGTGTGTTCCATTTTTTGACATAGGGTGCTGGCAGATTACGGGCCTCCCATAGCTGCTGCCAGGCCCCTAATCTGCCATGGGCCCCTATACCGCCTCCTCATGCTGCTGCCAGGTCCAGAGTCTCTCATGGGTCCCTGTACGGCCTCCCATTGCTGCTGTCTCCATCGCCACACTCTGCCATGTGCCACTTTCAGGTCTCCTCACACTGCTGGTGTGTTCCATTTTTTTGTCATAGGGTGCTGGCAGATTACGGGCCTCCCATAGCTGCTGCCAGGCCCCTAATCTGCCATGGGCCCCTGTACCGCCTCCTCATGCTGCTGCCAGGTCCAGGCGAAGTAGTCACATGGGAACTTCTCAGGCCTGAAACAGAGAAATCGACAGATGGCTGTCTCCGCGCAAACTGAAAATCGGAACCATGTTGTGACAACGGAAAGAACATGGTCTGCTCAAGGAAGGTTATGCCATGCGCCATGCATGGCTCACGTGTTCAATCTGGTTGTCAAGTGGGGTTCCTAAAATCCACCATCCCACTGCAAGACATCCTTAAAATGTCACGTAAACTTTGCATGCTTTTCAGCCATTCCTACACCGCAAAGCACACCCTCCTTGAGCTGGTGCGGCAGAACGGAATTCCACAGCATCGCCTGATCTGCGACGCTTGCAGTTGCAACAAGGTGGAATTCAACCCTACACATGTTAGACCGCCTTTACGAACAGCGAAAGGCCATCACCGATTTCCTGATGTTACAAGCGGATAAAGGTACTCCCCTGTGTGTAACTTCGATGTCAGCCATTGGCAGCTCATGCGTGACACCTGCTGCGCTTCCCCTTGCTGCTCAGGGCCCTTTGAGGAGGCCACGCTATTCGTGAGTCGTGAGTCGGCAGGACTATGGGATGAACGACGTCATTCCTCTGTTGCACGTCCTGGAACAAATGCTGTTAACAATGGCTGGTCAGGGTGCGGTAGACGTGGCGCACAGATCTCAACGCCACATGACCCTGTGGGGGCAGGACAGGAAGAAGAGGAGGAGGGAGGAGGACATTTGTGCTCAGGAATTATTGAGTGAAATGGGTGGTTTTTCCACTCAGCGGACAGGAGTGGAGGAGCAGGAGCATCTGGTAGAGGAGGAGGAGGAGGAGGAGACAGAGGACCCAGACGCACCGTGGCATAGTATGCTGTGGAGATTGGGCATGGAGTCCCTCGCATTCCTTGGCACAAATCTGGCCCATAGGGCTCGGTTGCTTGCGTAGCGACAGCCGAAATAATAACCATCAGACAGAGGGATGACTTTTGGCTGTCCACCTTGTTGGACCCTCGCTACCGTTCAAAAATGGTGGCCTTTTTCACACCTGCTGAGAGGTGAGGCCAATTTAACGTACTATAGGGTGCTGGCCACCTATGTAGTCAGTTGGTCTCTAATCTGCATGGGCCAACGTCCATCCTCAGACACTGTGGGCCCATTGCTGCTGTCTGTGCGCTTTCAGGCCTTCTGCTGCCATAAATTTTGGGCATGGGTGGGGGCCAGATTACGGGCCCCCATTGCTGCTGCTGCCAGGCCAGGGGCCATGGGGGTGGGTGGTGTGGTAGTAGCAGTGGCAGCTCCACCAGCAGCGGCTGCTCAGTCTGCAGTCGATGATGAGTAGCTTTTTCTTCACCAGCGCAGTGAGGAAAACTACTAACCAGCGCGCACAGCAGCAGCAGCAGCATCAGGTGGACCTGGAGCAGGACCTCAAACAATAGGGCTTGGGCCTACTTGGACATAGCTGCACCCTGCCTAATCGAGGTAGACAATCCCCTTGACTACTGGGCAACGAAACTTGACCTTTGTACGGCCCCCAACTGTCTGAATTTGCCCTTGAAAGGCTGTGCCACTTTCAGTAGCTGGCATCGGAGCTGTTTGTGCGGCAGGAGGTTTTGTAACTCCGCGTGAGGACACGACTGTCCACCCAAAGTGCTGGAGAGATCTGCCTCACGTTTGTGAAAATGCTGCTGCCAGAAGTGGATTAGTCTGGATTTCAAACCACCAGTTCCTGACACATTGCTGACTAAATCCGCCATGATCTCATGCCTCAAACATGTGCCACTTTCAGGTCTCCTCACACTGCTGGTGTGTTCAATTTTTTGTCATAGGGTGCTGGCAGATTACGGGCCTCCCATTAGCTGCTGCCAGGCCCCTAATCTGCCATGGGCCCCTATACCGCCTCCTCATGCTGCTGCCAAGTCCAGAGTCTCTCATGGGTCCCTGTACGGCCTCCCATTGCTGCTGTCTCCATCGCCACACTCTGCCATGTGCCACTTTCAGGTCTCCTCACACACTGCTGGTGTGTTCCATTTTTTGTCATAGGGTGCTGGCAGATTACGGGCCTCCCATAGCTGCTGCCAGGCCCCGCCTCCTATGCTCTGCCAGGGCCCCTGTCTACCATGGGTCCCTGCCTCCTCCATTGCTGCTGTCTCCAGGTCCACACTCATGCCATGTGCCACTTTCAGGTCTCCTCACACTGCTGGTGTGTTCCATTTTTTGTCATAGGGTGCTGGCAGATTACGGGCCTCCCATAGCTGCTGCCAGGCCCCTAATCTGCCATGGGCCCCTATACCGCCTCCTCATGCTGCTGCCAGGTCCAGAGTCTCTCATGGGTCCCTGTACGGCCTCCCATTGCTGCTGTCTCCATCGCCACACTCTGCCATGTGCCACTTTCAGGTCTCCTCACACTGCTGGGTGTGTTCCATTTTTTGTCATAGGGTGCTGGCAGATTACGGGCCTCCATAGCTGCTGCCAGGCCCCTAATCTGCCATGGGCCCCTATACCGCCTCCTCATGCTGCTGCCAGGTCCAGAGTCTCTCATGGGTCCCTGTACGGCCTCCCATTGTTGCTGTCTCCATCGCCACACTCTGCCATGTGCCACTTTCAGGTCTCCTCACACTGCTGGTGTGTTCCATTTTTTGTCATAGGGTGCTGGCAGATTATGGGCCTCCCATAGCTGCTGCCAGGCCCCTAATCTGCCATGGGCCCCTATACCGCCTCCTCATGCTGCTGCCAGGTCCACAGTGTCTCATGCCATGTGCCACTTTCAGGTCTCCTCACACTGCTGGTGTGTTCCATTTTTTGTCATAGGGTGCTGGCAGATTACGGGCCTCCTATAGCTGCTGCCAGGCCCCTAATCTGCCATGGGGCCCCTGTACCGCCTCCTCATGCTGCTGCCAGGTCCAGAGTGTCTCATGGGTCCCTGTGCGGCCTCCCATTGCTGCTGTCTCCATCGCCACACTCTGCCATGTGCCACTTTCAGGTCTCCTCACACTGCTGGTGGTTTCCATTTTTGTCATAGGGTGCTGTATGGCCTCCCATTGCTGCTGCCTCCACCGCCACACTGTGGCTCCACACTCTGGTTTTGGCCCCGTGACTGCCCAAATGAGTGAAGTGTGCTGTGATTCTAAGATCGACGGCACTCATCTGCATGTCATACTGACTGTCAGTATTATTTCTCTTCCCCAGCAGACTCCAAGGGCATTTAAATTAAAGGTACAGTGTTCTGCACTAATATAAAGGCTCTCTGAAGCCTAGAAACACCCTTTTATAAGTTAAATTCGCAGCGAATATATTCGACTCGAATCAAAATTTTTCCACGAATTCGCCGAATCAGTCGAATCGAATTTTTGAATACTTCGCTCATCTCTAATCCTAAGCATACCACCTCATCAGTGAAGCCTGGTGGTGGTAGTGTCATGGCGTGGGCATGTATGGCTGCCAATTGAACTGGTTCTCTTGTATTTATTGATGATGTGACTGCTGACAAAAGCAGCAGGATGATTTCTGAAGTGTTTCGGGCAATATTATCTGCTCATATTCAGCCAAATGCTTCAGAACTCATTGGTCGCCGCTTCACAGTGCAGATGGACAATGACCCAAAGCATACTGCAAAAGCAACCAAAGAGTTTTTTAAGGGAAAGAAGTGGAATGTTATGCAATGGTCAATCACCTGACCTGAATCCGATTGAGCATGCATTTCACTTGCTGAAGACAAAACTGAAGGGAAAATGCCCCAAGAACAAGCAGGAACTGAAGACAGTTGCAGTAGAGGCCTGGCAGAGCATCACAAGGGATGAAACCCAGCGTCTTGAGATGTCTATGCGTTCCAGACTTCAGGCTGTAATTGACTGCAAAGGATTTGCAACCAAGTATTAAAAATTGAAAGTTTGATTTATGATTATTATTCTGTCCCATTACTTTTGGTCCCTTAACAAGTGGGAGGCACATATGCAAACTGTTGTAATTCCTACACCGTTCACCTGATTTGGATGTAAATACCCTCAAATTAAAGCTGACAGTCTGCAGTTAAAGCATATCTTGTTCGTTTCATTTCAAACCCATTGTGGTGGTGTATAAAGCCAAAAATGTTAGAATTGTGTCGATGTCCCAATATTTATGGACCTGACTGTAACAAATGTCACATATTACATGGTTGACTCATTTTGCAGTCACAGACCACTTACTCAGACCTCTGTGTTTGTATATGACAGATGACCTGCAAGGTTTTTTTTTCTCAAATTCTAGAGAATCAAAAATCAAATCATAAAAAATAACATATTGCATATACATAACATATTTAGTCAAACAATCACACAAATTGGTTCTGACATTTAGGAAAAAAAAGGAGGCAAAAACCAAAATGGAAGCAAAAAAAAAAAAAAAAAAGAGGGGAGATGAGGATGAAGTCATCTGTCATATACAAACACAGAGGTCTGAGTAAGTGGTCTGTGACTGCAAAATGAGTCCTGAGGAAGCAGTCTGAAATGCATTAACCATGTATTATGTGACATTTGTTATATAAGATCATGTAATATATGACATTTTTATACAAGGAACTTTTTCATCTTTATATGATATGTGATAAATTTTGTCTTTTATCCCCAAACTTTTTTATACTATGTTTGTAATAAATGATGATTTTATAACTAGTTAATATTAATTACCAATAAGCCATCCTAGATCACCCACATTCATGGGAGTCCTTTCTGCACTTATACAATTTTGTATGGTGGAAAACACCTATATACATATAGGAGACTCTGTGTATGTTAGGGTTAGTCCTGATCCAATGTAACAGAGGCTTCAGGGTCAATATAAAGACTTGGGGGGATGATGGATAGCCTTGGCGGCTACCATTATGGAGGGCAAAGGATTCTGATAGTGTCTCATTAACGCTCACCCTTGTAAAAGGGTGACAATAAATAGCACCCATTTACTTTAAAAAATGTTGGCCCAGGCCGAGATTGCCCAAGACTGCACCCATAAAGGACCAGTTGATGCAGTTGAATGCTTTTTCTGCATCTGTCATCAGAAAAAGCATAGGAATCTTTTTGAAGTTGGCACAGTGAATAATAATTAGCACTTTTGTCGTAATATTCTTAGCCTCACTTGATGGGATGAAGTCTAACTGGACCTGGCAAACCAACTGAGATATGAAGGGAAGCAACTGCAAGGCCAAGATTTTTGTGAAGATTTTCAAATCGACATTTAATAATGAGATGGGAAGATAGTTGGCACGTTGTGCCACATACCTTCTCTCTTTCGGCATCACCTTGGTGGTGGCTCTCAGGGTGTCCTCAGGTAACTGCTCCTCGTCTAGAAGAGAATTGAAGCTGGTCACAAACAGGGTACCCAGAATATCAGGGAAGGCCTTGTGGTAGGCAATGGTGAAGCCGTTCGGGCCAGGGGCTGTGTGTCTGAGAAGGCCTTGGACTACTCCTCTACCATGATCAGCATCTCTAGTAACTGATCGTCCTCTGGAGAAAGATAAAAAACAGGTGGCGCACACACCTAGTGCATTATCCAAGGTTTATTGAAAGGAGTGAAAAATAAAAAACTCACAGACGAAGCATGTATCTAAAAATAATTTGCATAATGACGATGGTCACAACGGTTCCAACTGTCAGTGCGGTCAAATGGCTGACGTGTTTCGGGGATGAATCCCTTTCCTCAGAGCTACCGATCAGCCTGCATGAAGGTCAAGTGGTAAATAACCAGGGCTAAATGCCTTGGGTGCAAAGCTCCACCTCCTCTACTTGTTATAAGGCGAGGGGTTGGAGGGGGTTATTTAAAGTGCAATATTTTAATAAATAAAAATAAATCTAAAAATAATCGTAGTAATAACACTGGCAACAATGATAAAAATTGAGGTAAAAATATTATTAGTAAAAAATCATAAAAATGAAAGTCATAAGACTAGTGGATAATAGATGATTAGCAGTTCAAAGTATCAAGTGTGGCTGTAGACCATATATATTTATTGAAATGTAAAGCGCCGAGCAAAGTGTCGGCGCTACACAAGTCCTGCATAGTAACATTGTAATATTATTTGAAGAGAAAAAAAAAAAAAAAAAAGGAAAAATGGGGACAGTAAAAGACATGAAATAAAAAGTGTGTCTATGGGAAAATGAATGACCTTTAGGGGGCAATGGTTTTGTGAGTTGATAAGATATATGAATATGGTGTAGATACCTCGGATGCAGATGTGTAATGGATGGATGATGGGAGCCTTGCTGGTGATGCCTGAGTGGGATGGTGTGGGAGTGTGCTTTATGCCTGTGGGGAAATGGCTGCTGGAACTCAAGCCATGAGACCGGAAGTAAACTCCGGATGACGTCACATCTGGCATCCCTAGAAAAACATCAACATGTGCAGTGACTGCAAGGTTCCTCCCAGGGGGGAAGAAGGGACAGAAGTCAGCACAGCCATGTGAAGGATAGCTGGAGGGAGTGAATGTGGTGTTGTGGTGATAATGGCATGGATGGCCTCTGGAACAAAGGGACTGAACTAAAGAGTGATAAGGAGGCAGAAGATGAGTGTGACAGAAGGGAGGGGGGGAAGGGAGACAGAGAAGTGTTGTGATGTGTACTGGAAAGGCAGCTGATAATAGTGACAGAACTGGGGATGGGGGGGGGAGGGAGGAGGGGAAAGAGGAGACAGATATGGTGAATGTTCTATAATGAGAATAAACCTATGAAAGTGGCAGATTTAGGGGGGGGGGGAAAGGAGGGGAAGGGAACCAAGAGGGCAGATATGTTAATGATGAATGAAAAATATAATGATCAACATGTCAAAACTGGGGGGGGGGGGGAGAAAGGATACAGAGATGTGGTGAGTGTTGTATGCTGGGAATTAATGACAAAAATGGGGGGGGGGGGGAGAGGAAGGGGGAGGGAAAAAGAAAACATAAATGTGATGAATAATTAATACTGGGAAGTTGGAAGAGAAAAAAAAAAAAAAAAAATTGTATTGTGAAAGAAAGAAAAAAAGGCCCGCCCCTGATGCGGGTGTATATTGACAGTATATGATAGATACACTGGTGTAATTATATTGGCTTTAATTACTCACAGGGAATCTGTATGTTTTATATACAGTGGGGATCGAAAGTTTGGGCACCCCAGCTAAAAATTTGTATTAATGTGCATAAAGAAGCCAAGGAAAGATGGAAAAATCTCCAAAAGGCATCAAATTACAGATTAGACATTCTTATAATATTGTCAACAAAGTTAGATTTTATTTCCATCATTTACACTTTCAAAATAACAGAAAACAAAAAAATGGCGTCTGCAAAAGTTTGGGCACCCTGCAGAGTTAATATCTTGTACTGCCCCCTTTGGCAAGTATCACAGCTTGTAAACGCTTTTTGTAGCCAGCCAAGAGTCTTTCAATTCTTGTTTGAGGTATCTTTGCCCATTCTTCCTTACAAAAGTCTTCCAGTTCTTTGAGATTTCTTGGCTGTCTGTCACGCACTGCTCTTTTAAGGTCTATCCATAGATTTTCAATTATGTTGAGGTCAGGAGATTGTGAAGGCCATGGCAAAACCTTCAGTTTACGCCTCTTGATGTAATCCCTGTGGATTTCGAGGTGTGTTTAGGATCATTATCCATTTGTAGAAGCCATCCTCTCTTTAACTTCAGCTTTTTCCCAGATGGCATCAAGTTACCATCCAAAAGTTGCTGAAATTTTATTGAATCCATTTTTCCTTCTACTCGTGAGATGTTCCCTGTGCCACTGGCTGCAACACAACCCCAAAGCATGATTGATCCAACCCCATGCTTAACAGTTGGACAGAGGTTCTTTTCATTAAATTATGTGCCCTTCTTCTTCAAACGTACCTTTGCTCATTCCGGCCAAAAAGTTCAATTTTATCCTCATCGGTCCACAGAACTTGTTTCCAAAATGCATCAGGCTTGTCTATATGTTCATTTGCAAAGTTCAAACGATGATTTTTGTGGTGAGGACGTAGAAGATGTTTTCTTCTGATGACTCTTCCATGAAGACCATATTTGTACAAGTATCTCTTTATAGTGGAATAGTGTACCACAACTCCAGTGTCTGCCAGATCTTTCTGGAGGGATCGTGTAGTCAAACGTGGGTTTTGAATTGTTTTTCTCACAATCCTGCGAGCTGTTCTCTCTGATATTTTTCTTGGTCTTCCAGATCTTGCTTTAACTTTCACTGTTCCTGGTGACTGCTATTTCTTAATTACATTCCGAACAGAGGATATTGACATCTGA